CATCATCCCTGTTAACCGTGGAGCGCAGTGCTGTCAGTTCCTCGGCCGCTAAGGCTTCGGATAGTGCCTCAAGGGCTAATGCGGCCGTTTTGTTTTCGGCACGGAGTGCTATGTCCGGATCACTAGCTAGAGTGATAATTCCATTTGGCCCGGGCATCTTGAGCTTCATGTACCCATAATGGGGTATTGCTTGGAAGATTGTGAATGCTTCCCGCCCTAGTAAGGCGTGATGTACGCTTTTAAACAGGGCCACCTGGAACGTGACTTCTTCGGACCTGTAATTATCCGCGTGCCGAACACCACATCTAGTGTGATTTTTCCCGTGCAGCGCGCTTCCTGACTGGGGATTATTCCTCTAAAGGTTGTGCTGCTTTGCTCGACGCGGTTCCAGTCTATTTCCATTTTTTGAAGGGTCTCCTCATAAATGAGGTTCAGTTCGCTGCCTCCATCCATGAGCACCTTGGTAAGGCGAAAGTCGTCCACTATGGGACTGAGGAACAATGCGGCTGGTGCTCGGGCTGTTCGGAATCTAGGTTCATCACTTGCGTTGAAAGTAATGGCAGTGCCGCTCCATGGATTTATTGTTGCAATTTGATAGACTTCGGCGAGGTTGCGGAGTGTTCTTTTTCGCATATTGTTTGATGCAAAAGTCTCGAAGACTGTGAGAACGGTACTGGTGTCCTCGGGCTGGCTTTCTGCGGCCTCCCGATTTAAGAGGTCCTCGCCAATTTTGGCTACCTGCCAGAGTATCCAACATGCTCTAAGGCTGTGAATTGGTGTGGCGTCCTCTGTACTGTGAATTCTACAGGGTCCATCGAGCCACCTTTCCAGTACGGTTCCATGCCCTGCAGAGGGTTTTGGCTTTTTGCTATTTATCCCGGGTGTCTTGTGATGATGCACCCTCTTAGTTTGGACGGGATTACTATTCAAGGCCAGATTATCCCAAAATTTCGTTTCGGTTTTCCAGGCGCTTTCCATCGCACAGTATTTTTGTACTATGGACGCCAAGTCAGCGAAGTGTGTAATATCACGACGACTTATGGCGTTAAGGATTCCCTCGTCCGTGCAATTACTGCAGAAGATTGATATCGCGTCTCCCTCGCGGTAATCTTTTATCCTGTTCATAACTAGGAGGAATCTGGCCCAGTAATGATGTATTGTTTCGTCGGGCCTCTACCTGACTCGGGAGAGATCGCTTATGTTCGGGTGGGTGGGTGTCGTTGAATCTGAAACCTCACCCAATCCAAGATTCGGAGGCCAAAGATTTTCCAAATTCTGAAGTTCGGATTCCTGGACGTTATCCAACGAATCCGGCCCGTTGCCTGATTCTAAGCTCAGGTCTTGAGTTACATCCTCCCCTCCGCGGGTATCCGGCTTGGAGGGATCGGGAATTCGGACATAACTAGTCCTTAAAATAGATGAAGGGTCGCCGCACCACGCCTCTACCACGGCAACGTGGTGGGTGACTTGGGGAGAGTTAATTTCTCTTAGATCGGGTTTAAGCCCATCCTGGTTGTAATCCGTGGCGACCCCCAGGGCGGCGATGCGATCCAAGAGCTCGTTTACGAAAAAGAGCTCCATTGGATCTAACTGCTTGACGAGCTCCGAGCTGACATGTAGATTGCTTTTGATGACCCGAGAGGTCACCGTCGGCGCAACAGCCGAACATGCGGTCATGAGGAAACCACCTAGCTGGAGGGTTTAGCCAACAGTCAAGGCTCCCTTAGCCACGGCGCCGTCTTTGAAGACGGGAGAAGGCATCCTTCCTGATTGCGACGGCACAGAGGAACTCTCAATGACAGCACCAATGTCGGTGTCAAAACCGGCGGATCTCGGGTAGGGGGTCCCGAACTGTGCGTCTAGGCCGGATGGTAACAGGAGGCAGGGAACACGATGTTTTACCCAAGTTCGGGCCCTCTTGTTGGAGGTAAAATCCTACGTCCTGCTTGATTAATATTGATGATATGGGTAGTACAAGAGTAGATCTACCACGAGATCAAGAAGGCTAAACCCTAGAAGCTAGCTTATGGTATGATTGTTGTCTATGGAGTTGATGAAGTTGTCCTACGGACTAAAACCCTCCGGTTTATATAGACACCGGATAGGGTTAGGGTTACATAGAGTCGGTTACAATGGTAGGAGATCTTGAATATCCGCATCGCCAAGCTTGCCTTGCACGCCAAGGAAAGTCCCATCCGGACACGGGACGAAGTCTTCAATTTTGTATCTTCATAGTCCAGGAGTCCGGCTGAAGGTATAGTCCGGCTACCCGAACACCCCCTAATCCAGGACTCCCTCAATTACCTTGCAATGTATCCATAGTTTTATTCTCGCAAAGTACTCGTAGTTTTATCCTTGCAAAATAGTTTCATACTTGTTTCCGGTAAAGCAAATGTCAAGCGTGCGTGGAGTTCTATCGGTGGTCGATAGATCTTGAGGGAATATTTGTTCTACCTTTAGATCCTCATTGGGTTCGACACTCTTATTTATCGAAAAAGGCTACAAACGACCCCCTATACTTGTGGGTTATCAAGACCTTTTTCTGGCGCCGTTACCGGGGAGCAATAGCGTGGGGTGAATATTCTCGTGTGTGCTTGTTTGCTTTATCACTTAGTTGTATTTATTTTGTGCTCTTTTTTTCTATCTTTAGTTATGGGTAGGAAACGCAAAATACCAAAAAAATTAGTTGTACCTACTAAACCAATGGTTGAAGAACCACCCAAAATATATCATACTACTGAAGCTTTCTACTTGGATCATCTTCGATCCATTTGTGCTCGTGCTGGAAACCCAACTAGCTTAGTTGATGGAAAATCATTAGATGAGCATGCTTGTTTTGTGAGACATCGTTTATCTGAAAAAGGGAAACTTTTACAACATCAAATTAATACTATGCAATGCTATGCTTGGAATTTATGTGAATTATATGATGTTACTTGTTGTTCTGAAGACCCTAATAAACACCTTCCCTACCAATGTGAGTTTATTGATAATGGAATCGTATCTTATTATGACAAAGGTGTTTATATTTACTTTGATATCGAACAAATTATGCTTCTAATGCCTATGTTAAACCATATATTGAGGACTCCTTCGATGTCCAAGAAGAGACTAATATTTTGCAGGAGTCTATGTAAGAAGATATTGATGAAGTTGCGAGCTCATTGGATGAAGAAGATGATAAGGAGAGCGAAGAACAAACGGAGGATGAGCGGATTAGCTACCCGTTTCCACCTTCTAATGAGATTAACTCTTCAACTCATACATTATTTAATGCCCCTTCGTTCTTACCGAAGGATGAATGCTATGATAATTGCTATGATGATCCCATTGATTCGTTTGAAATATCCCTTTTTGATGAACTTGATGATTTCTATGCTTGTGGCCAAGAGGCCAATATGAATAATGCTTATGGAGATGAACTTGCTATAGTTCCATATGTTAAGAATGAAATTGTTTCTATTGCACACATGCATGATAGTCCTATTATCTTTTTGAATTCTCCAAAGTACACTATATCGGAGCAGTTTGCACTTATTAAGGATTAGGTTGATGTGTTGCATTATACCATTACGCATGATGATTTTGATGAATATAATATGCATGTGCTTGCTGCTCCTAGTTGCAATTATTATGAGACAGGAACTACATCTCCGCCTCTCTATGTTTCCAACACGAAAAAATTGCAAGAAACTTCTTATACTATGTATTGGCCTTTACTTGATGTGCATGAATTGTTCTTGTATGACATGCCGATGCATAGGAAGAGAGTTATACTTCATCATTGCATGATATATGTTGCTTTGTACTCACTACTAAATGCCAAATCATTGTTAATTGAAATTGGCTTTGATATACCTTGGGATCCGGGTGGATTCATTACTTGAGCACTTTATGCCTAGCTTAATGGCTTTAAAGAAAGCGTTGTCAGAGAGACAAGCCGGAAGTTTTAGAGAGTCATTTCTTTCCGTTGAGCGCTTATATAAAGTTTAAAAACAAAAAAAAAATATAAAGGAGAACTTAAAAACTTTTTCACAAAAGAGAAGCGGTTGGAAGTTATGCATTGGAGAAGGTAGGGTCGACCTTAAACACTTGTGTTCATGCTCATGGAAACAATGTAGAATTTTTCATGAAGATTATCACAAAAATAATTATCCCCTTGTACAATTCCATTGTATTATAAAAATAATGTGCCAAGATTTGCCTTTAGGATGATTAGATTGCTTGTTGGTTTGTGCGGTGCAAAACATAAACTTTGGCTGTAGTGCTCGATTTTACATTTTTTACTGGAACGTCAAATTGTTATGAAACTTTTTTCACTGTCTTTCTATAGAAAATGTTTATTTTTCCTCATTTTTAAGAATTTTTAAAGTATCAAAGGTATAGTGAATGTTCAGATTACTACAGACTGTCCTGTTTAAGACAAATTCTGTTTTTGATGCATTATTTTGCTTGTTTTGATGAAACTATCAATTTTTATTGGTAGTATGGGTTCATGACTAGTTTTTCTATAATGATATTATCTTTTAGAGATTTCTACTTCTTAAGATTTTCCGTGCACATTATAGTCGCTGTCTACAAATTCCGCCACAAAGGGAGGGGTATCGTATAGTTTTTTTTACTGGTAGGTCGCCCTAGCGTTCTGACATCTAGTAGGTGAATACATGTGCGCTAGTTGTTGTTTCGAAAAGAACATGTGTCATTGCTCATCGCCACTTGTCAAGCGTACGCAGCTACTAGCATCAGTAGCAAATGAGTATTTTCTTTAATTATTAGGTCGCTCCCTCCCCCTTCCCAGCCCACCATTTGCCCCTCTTATGATCCTGTGGCGCTATAAATCAGCCGTAGCTCTAACTGCAGATGTCCATTCCTAATACAAACAGCAAAAATTAAGGGAAATGGATCAGACCACAGCCATGCCCATGGTAGGCACCTCAAAAGCTGAGCTTCTGCAAGCCGATGCGGAGCTCTTTTGCCACACCTTTGCGTACCTCAAGTCGATGGCATTGAACAGTGTCGTGAAGCTTGGAATCCCCGATGTCCTCCACCGCTGCGGTGGCGCCGCCTCCTTGCCCGAGTTGCTCTCCTCCGTCCCCCTCCATCCAAGCAAACGCCCCTACCTGGGTCGCCTCATGAAGATGCTGGCTGCGGCTGGGATCTTCACGGCTGAGGATATTCCTGCCGGCGGCGATGGGGCACCAACCACGGTTTACCACCTCAACACGGTTTCTCGTCTCCTGGTGGACGACGCCGGCGCCAACCGCAGCTCATGCATGTCGCCGTGCGTGCTCCTGGGCACCACCAACTTATTTGTGTCGGCCTCCTTACGGCTGCACCAGTGGCTCCTGACCGAGGAGGAGGGAGCCACGATGGGTTCGCCGTTCATGATGGCACATGGCGGGAGCTTGTATGGCGTCGGTAGCCGCGACCCCGAATTCAACGCGTTGTTTAATGGGGCAATGGGTGCCACCAGCGAGTTCGTCGCCGCCCTTGCTGTCCGTGAATGCAGCGAAGTGTTCGCCGGGATAACGTCGTTGGTCGACGTTGCTGGCGGGAACGGCACCACGGCGAGGACCATAGCCGAGGCTTTCCCACGTGTTAAGTGCTCGGTGTTGGACCTCCCACAGGTGATACAAGGAATCTCGCCGGATGGCACGGTTGAGCTTGTTGCTGGTGACATGATGGAGTTCGTGCCACCTGCTGATGCTGTTCTGCTTAAGGTAGAGTAGTACTACTAATTAACTTCACTTCTTATTAATGACATCATCTAATTCTGATTTTCTTCGATTCATAATTAGCGTCGCAGTTTTGAACTAAGCTTATGAATTATGGTTCGTCCGATTGGCAGTACGTGCTGCATAACTGGAGCGATCAGGACTGCGTGAAGATCCTCACGCGATGTAGACAGGCCATTTCCCACGGAGCCAAAGCTGGCAAGGTGATAATCATTGATACCGTCGTTGGATCACCCTCACACCAAATACTTGAAGGCCAGGTCACCATGGATTTGTCCATGATGATGTTATTTAATGGTAAAGCAAGGGAGGAGCACAACTGGCACAAGATGTTCATGGAAGCCGGATTTAGTCACTACAAAGTCCACAACGTCTTGGGAATGCGGTCCCTCATCGAAGTCCACCCGTAGCTTTTTTATCCAACAATATTTATTATTCATCGCATGTGCTGCTACTTACATTTCCCACATCATGTGTACGTGGGTGATGCTTATAGTTTGTATCGTCTGCTAGCCCTATTTCCACTAATGTGTATGCCCCAAATATTATCGTTCGCATTTGGTTGTGTCCATAGTTTGGCGCAAGGACTATGAGAATAAAGTATACCTTGATGGAATGGGTTTATTTTTAATTTTCTTGACAGGGATTATCCCAATGTACAACCACGGTTACTTGTTATCCCCGATTTTAATATTTCTGACACATTTCACCGATTGATACAAATAATTCACATTTTATCATATGGACAAATCCTAGGTTGCTGCAGGGCCTCTTTGATTTATGGGATTGTAAAAAGGCAGGAATAGGAAACACACATAATTGGAATGTCATGCCTACTCAAATTCTATTTGTGTTTGTTTGATTTAGCATAAGAACAACAAAGAATTTTTTACAATTATGTAGAATAACGATGGTATAAGATGTTTCAAGTAGTTACGATCAGAAGTATACTTGATATCATCAAAGGTTCATGGACAACATTTTAATTTGTTAGATTGATAAAAATACTTATAAGACGTAATATCACACATCTTTAAGATCTGCAACTAAAAAAAAGGTTTAAAAGTTTGAGCTGTTATGCCACCATTATTATTTCTATTACTGAGATAAATTTATCTTTCTCTTATTCAGAAATATAACCAGCCACAGATACTCCTAAATACTCCTTCCGTTCCGAATTACTTGTCGCAGGTATGGATGTATCTAGATGTATTTTAGTTCTAGATACATCCATTTCTGCGACAAGTAATTTAGAACGGAAGGAGTACCTGTTAAATATATTTCTCTTTGTCAATCAAAGATAAAGTGAATTTGTACTTATTGGCCTGAAAGACACATTTCAATATCAAGTAATTTTATAGATAAATTTACTTTTGGTCCCTTAACTATTTAATGTTTAGATTTGATATTAAAAAGGAAAAAATTGCAATGAGCATACTAATAACAGTACTTTTGTACCCCCAGAGCAGTTTTGGCACAAAAAACTGAATAAATCATTTTAAAAAATCTTAAATAAAATAAACATAAAAATTAGATTGAATCCCAAATTTCTAATTTTTTTTTATGGTTCCTTTTTTTCTATCTATTTTTAAGCAATACTAGGACTTTTAGTATATCATCAAAATTTGTATTTTACATATTTTGTCCTTTTGCACACATTGCTATATATTTCCAGCGATTTAAGTAATCTAAGGACTATGCTGGAAAATAACGTAGCATGGAACATAGAAGGTGTTTATACCGCCCACGGATATACAACTAGTACACAGCTAAAAAACCACAATGACGAACGAAAGTACATGTTATTATAAGTTCAATCTGAAACAAAATATAGTTTAATAGTTAAAGAACTAACTCTTAATCCAATTAATCGTTGAGAGAATCAATATACGCATTTGCTATTTGTGTTCTTTGTGACATTCAATAGTCACATCTCTTTGTCGACCAAGCCTTGATGCGGTCCTAGGCACACATTCAAAATTGTGTGGGTAAATATATAATAAAGACTACATGTCCAATCGCCAATCAGAGTAAAGACTTATTGATGCTTGTACTTGCATGTTTTAGCGATATAAGTGAATGGGAAACTCAGTTGAACCATGCTTTGGATACAATGATTTTTAATTGTATACAAAAGTAGAGATATAAGACTATGTTTATACTATATAGCTCACTCTATACTAGTTAGTTGGACAATGCCTCATTGTACGTAATTAACAATGTTAGGTTTTTCTTTGCAACCTTAGGCGGCTATCAACTTACCCGGGCCACCGATCTTCCTAATTTCGGAGGTATGGGGACTTCTTGGCGCATAGATCATACCAACATTAATTCATGCATGGATGTAACATGGCAAGGGTGTTCAGGATAATCGCGAAAAGCCACATGGGATATTCCGTCATAATTAACGGTAGGTACTTTTTAACAACTAGAATTAATCAACCAGTGGAAAAATATTTTAACCCTACTGTTAGTTTCGTGGTATCACTCCACATTGATGGAAGAGACATTGTTGGAGCTCTCAATAGGGAACATGTGGGATAATAGGTCAAAGCCAAAGTGGAAATATTCCATCATAACGAATGCTAGGTAATTGTTAGCCAATAAGATTTAATAAATATCATTTAACAAAACAATCACAGTTACTATTTGATCCCTACTCCTTGTTTCGTTATTTCACTTCGCTCCGATGGAAGAGACATCATAGCTCCGTATGGAACATGAGCGGAGAAACCAAAGCGGAATATGCCATCCTGGCAACGGATGCAGTTTTTTCTTCTCCCATTCATCCATATACAATGGAAAAGTGCATGCATGGATATAGGAAGCAGCTCACTTTTTCTAGAACGCATCAGCCAAAGTACTCTTTTAATTTTTTTTAACCCAAGGCCTTTTTTTCTTTGCTCTGACGTCCTCAATTTTTATTTGCGAATAAACGTCATTTTATTGAAGGGGACATGACACTACTAGGGAAAACCCTAGTAGTAGCGCGGGATAATTGCTAGTAGTAGCGTGGGGGGCTGCGCTACTGCTAGGGCGCTACAGCGAACTTTTAGCAGTAGCACGGGTGGTACCCGCGCTACTGCTAATTCTAGTAGTAGTAGCGCGGTTGCCACCCGCGCTGCTACTACTTAGTTGTAGCGCGGGTCAGAGCCCCGCCCCGCGCTACTACTAACTAATTCAGAATTGAAAAAATTAATTGCGGAATGGCGGCTGCGTCTGCTCGGCGTCATCGTCCTCTCCATTCATGGCTGCTACTGGTCCTGGAGGGGATGAAGTTGTTCGTGGTGATGGTGCTTCCCCACCCAACTTGTGCCCGCAGCTCTCGTCTACTGCTGCTACAAAAGAAGAGAAAATTATTAGAAATGGAAGAGAGAGATAGAGAGCAGTAGGAGGAGGAACTCACCGGTGGCCGCCGGAGTTGGTGCCGATGCCCGAAACCCTAGATGAAGCTCGGTGACCTGCTGCTGCTTGTCGTGGGACCCTTGACCCGGCGAGGAGGTGCAAGTGGTTGTGTCCATGGTGGATCTGGCCGCCGCCATGTGGACGACGCTCTACTGGTTTCCCTCTCCTTCCAACAGCGGAGAAGGAGGATGGAGGGGGAGGGGAGGGGTCTGCAAGAGGAGGTCGCCGGATTTGTGAGTGGCGCCGAGGTGCGAGGCCGGTAGTGGTGCTGGGCGAGGAAGGGAATGGCGAGTGGGAGAAGAAGGGGAATCAGAAGAGTGTGGGTTTGGATTTGGGCCTCCGCACGTAGGGGAAAGGGAGAGGAGGGGGAGGGGGAGGACGGGTGGGGAAAAGGTGGTGGGTGCGGATTAGCAGTAGCGCGGTACTTAAAATGCGCTGCTGCTAAGAAAGTAGCAGCAGCGCAAGCGCTACTACTAACTGGGACCTAAAGTGTGCCCGATTTGAAAATTAGCAGCAGCGACCTCAGAAAAACCGCGCTACTGCTACAGCTATAGCAGTAGCGCGGCTCGCCGCACCGCACTGCTGCTAAATGGAGTTGGGTGGGCATTGTCGGTCGATATTTGTAGCAGCGCGGGTTATGCCAAGCGCACTACTGCTAAGCACTTGTCAGTAGCGGGTTTTCCACACCCGCGCTACTGCTAATTAGCAGCAGCGCTCCTTTTTGAGCCGCGCTGCTGCTAAGATTCTGTGTATAGGGTTTTCCCTAGTAGTGTGAGTCTAAGTCCTTTTATTGTTTTGAAGAAACTTCAGTCGACGTCCTAATAAGGTGGGGGTATAATATGGGAAACACTTCTTTTCACCGGGTGGATCTCTCTGCGCCCATCGACGACTCTGTGGCCGTCAGATCTTTGTTTAGTCGGATGGCTC